AGAGGTCCTGTTCACTATCTCTAAGAGATTCCCTCATACAGTGCTAATCTCTGAGTGTCATGAAGGTGGAAGCGCAACTGGAAGAAGAGTAAAAGCAGCGGTCAGGCTGCAGAGTGGCACAAGGGGTGTGATCACAAAGCTGCCTCCTGACCCTATTTAAGCCCCAAGTCACCACAAGGAACGCACATCTAGCATCGTGAGCAAGAGCAAAAGCCTGTGGCTGGAAAGAAGCAACTGCTACTGTTTTGTTCAATTGATACGATGTGCCTGTCAAACTACCTTCTATACATTAGTGCTTATCTCCATAGGCTACTTAAACTTTCAGCCTCAGTCATGGAGGCCCCCGCCCCCAAGTGGACAGTGGTTAGAGACTCCTAACTGATCAGATCCCTGAGAATAAGTGATTGTGGTTGTGGCATAGTAGACCAATATTCAGACACAGATGGAAGAAGACGCAGCTGCACGGCTCAGGGAACATTGAGGAGGAGGCGTGTCAGAAAGAATATAAGAGTGAGAGGAAGAGGTGGACTATTCTGCAGCCATTTCCCGGAAGAAAACTCCGTAAGACTCAGGAAGACTCATTAAATTACTGCTTCAGTATCCCACCAAAGGTTCTAAGAGCAGTTACCGACAGGGTATCCATTGGAGCTCAGGGATGCTGCTTTTATGAGCTGTCACCCATGGTGGGGTGGGCTTTTCAGTGACCCAGCTGCCTTTGAGTTAACCCATCCTGTGGTAAGTGACCCTTATCAGTGCACCTGTGGGAAATCCCAATAGGCTCATTGGTTCATCAAGCTAATTTAAGTAGGATCGGTTCTTTTGGACTGTTGCTGATACTCTAGCGGTAGTAAAGACATTTTTTGCCCACATCTTCCAAGAAAAAGTTGCATGAAAGCTGAGCATACACAGATTTTTTTTTTTGCTTTTTCATTATTTTCTGAGCAATATAAGAAAGCACAATTTACATAGAAGTTGCATTGTAATGGGTAATTTAAATAATCTAGGGAATACATATGTATACATGTATATGAGAGAGAGGATGTTTATATTAAGAAGGTATCCAAGGAACTTCAGGGTTCACAGATTTTGCTATTCAAAAAGGTATTGGAACTAACCCCCATAGATAAAAAGAGATAACTATACCACAAAGCTGGTGCAATTACAGTAATTCAGTGTCCACACAGAGAAAGAAAAACTGATCAGTGGGCCATATTAGAAAGTTCAGGAAACTGAAACAACACTTGAAGTCTTAGCTAGAGCAATAACACAACTGAAGTAAATCAAGGGGAACTACAAATTAGAAAGCAAGAGACCAAAGTATCTTTATTTGCAGATATGATAATATACATAAGTGGAGTTGATAAACACTTTCAGCAGAGTAGTTGGATATAAAATTAACTTACAAAAATCAGTAGCCCTCCTATATACAAATGGCAAACAGACTGAGAAAGAAATTGGGGAAATAACAGTTTTCACAAAAGCCTCAAATACCAAAATACCTTAGGATAACTCTATCCAAGCAAGTGAAAAACTTTAAGATATTGAAGAAAGAAATTAAAGAAGATAGCAGAAGGTGGAAAGATTGCCCATGTGCATGCATCAATAGGATTAATAGAGCTAAAAAAAAAAAGCCATTCTACTAAGAGCAGTCTACAGATTCACCATAAACTCCATCAAGATTCCAACACAGATCTTGACAATTTTCAACTTCAGGATAGGTAAAACAATCCTGAGTAAAAATACTATGGGAGGTATCACTATCCCCAATTTCAAGTTGTTCTACAGAGATATAGCAATAAAAACTGCATGGTATTGGCACAAAAATAGACATGTTGATCAATGAGATCAAATTAAAGAGCCAGACACCTGATTTTTTATAAAGAATTCAGAAACACTCACTGGAGAAAAAAAGGAAGCATCTTCAACAAAGGGTGCTGGTCTAACTGAATGGCTGAGGGCAGAAGATGCATAGATCCCTCCCACCCTTCACAAACCATCTCTAAATGATCAAAGACCTCAACATAAAACCAGACACACTAAACCTGAGAGAAGAAAAAGTGTGGAGGAGCCTTGAACTCATTGGTGTCCTGAACAGAACACCAACAGCACAGGCACTAAAATCAACAATTAATAAATGGGACCTCCTGAAACTGAAAAGCTTCTGTAAAGCAAAGGACACCGTCATTTGGACAAAGCAGCCATTTGCAGAATAGGAAAAGATTTTTATGAACTATACATCCAATACAGGGATGTATAAAGAAACCAAAAATGTATAAAGAACTCAAAAAAATTAGATAGTAATAAAACAAATAATCCAATTAAAACAGGGAATTCTCAAAAGAGCAAATACTTAAATGTTGAATGCCCTTGGCCATCAGGGAAATGCAAATCAAAACTACTCTTAGATCTCATCTTACACTTTTTCAGAATGGCTAAGATCAAAACCACAAGTGGCAGCTCCTGCTGGCGAATATGTGGAGCAAGGGGAACATTCATCCACTGATGGGAGTGCAGACTTGTGCAGCCACTATGGAAATCAGTGAGATGGTTCCTCAGGAAGGGGGGAACAGATCTACTGCAAGATCCAGCTCTACCACTCTCTGGTGGCACAAGGCTTGTGGAAGTAACCCACGAATACCTGACTTGGGCACATACACAAAGGACACTTCATCCTGCCACAGAGACACTTGTTCAAACATGACCACCACTGCTCTGTTGATAAGAGCCAGAAATAGATGTTCCCCCATCAGATAAGGAAAATGCAATGGAATATATACAATGGAATTTATATAATGGAATATTACTCAGCCATTAAAACATGACATCATAACATTTGCAGGTAAACAGATGGAACTAGAAAAAAAAGAAAACATTATCCAGAGTGAGGTATCCCATACCCAGAAAGACAAATTTGGAATGCATTTGCTTATAAGTAAATAGTAACTTTTAAGTTAATGATAACCAAGCTATAATCTATAGAGTCATTGAGGTCACAGCTAGACCACGGGGATACAGATAGAGCTCTTTAGGAAAGGGAAATAGAATAGATAGTTTTTGGTGGATGGGGAGCTGGAACAAGAGTATCACATGGGAATGGAGACAGGCGAGAAGGATGAGTGATGGAATATGGGAAGAGACAGCTAAAATTAAGGGCCTTTTGAGGACATCATGTGTAAACCTAATACAGTAGAAGCTTCCTAAAATATGCATATATGAAGATGATCTAAGTGGAATTGTCCACTCCATGAGATGGAACCCATACTCAAGACTGCTTGGGTAACCACGAACCAGAATCTAGATAGTGCAGGAAACTAGAGTAAAGGCAACTACTACTGTTCTAACTTTTAAAAAATAGCAATAAAATGACTCTTACAACATTTTTGCTATACTCATAGATCAGTGCCTTGCTCAGCTTCCTTCTGCAGCAGATGGGAACAAATACAGGGACCCACAACAGACATTATGCAGACATATTGGAACACTCAGCCCATTTGTCTCCACCAAATTACCCTCAACCCCAGGTTCATGGAACCCTACAGAACAGAGGCAGAAAGAGTTAAGAGCTCTCTAAGTCAACAGTATCAACATTCATATGAGGCCATAGAGACTGGGAGAGCCTGCATAGGGCCTGCATGGGTCTGCACCAGGTCCCAGCATTTGTATTATGGCTTCCGGTTTAGTGTTTTTTTTATGGGATTCCTGAGTGTTCAAATGAGTGGGTTTTTTATTCTTGTTGCGTTCTCTTTGTCTCTTTTCCTTCTGTTTGTCTTGTCCAACTCTGATGTGTTACTTTTTATTTAATCTTATTATATTTGATTTTATTATTATCCCAGGCCCTTATTTTCCTTTTAAGCTCAAATAAATAGCCCTACGTTTCCATTTTGACTTTTCTTTCCTTTTAAAAATGTGTACACTTACTTACTGTATGTGTGCACGTGTGAATCCCATGGTTCACCCAAGGAGGTCCGAGGACAACATAGAGGAGTCAGTTCTCTCTCTCTCGGTCTCTCTAGCTGTCTCTCTAGATCTGAGAGATTAAACTCAGGCCCTCAGGCTTGGTAACAGGCCCCTTTATGTGGTGAGCCATCTCACTAGCCAAAAGAATTTTGTTGGTTTTGCCTGATGTATGCATGTGCATGTATACTTGGTGCGTGCAGAAGCCAGAGAGGGTGCTACATCTCCCGGAGCTTGGGTTCTAGGTGGCTGTGAGCTATCACATGGGTGCTGAGAACCAGATCCCGGCCCTCTGAAAGAGCAGCCAGTGAACTTAACCATCTTCTCAGCCCCCTTGCATCCATGTTTAATTCATACAGTACAATACATATACATGTGTGTCTGCTTTTTGCTCGTTTGTTGAAGGTGGTGCCACACTGCATAGCTTGATTAGCCTGGAACTCAATAGGTAGATCAAGTGGCTTCAAACTCAGAGTCCCCTGCCTCTGCCACCTGAGTGCCAAGATTACAGGCCTGTGCCACCGTGGTCAGCTCTAATTATTATGTCAATGAGACCAGAAGCCCCAACCAGTGGACCTTGATTTCGGGGCTCCCTGGAATGTCTGGTAACACTTCCTTCCTGCCTTCTAATTCTTACTTGGCAGAGAAGATGAATCTTGTTCTTGCACCCTTAAAAGGTATCAAGTGGGTGAAAGTGAGAAGACCTGGCTTCAAATCCCCAGGACCTACATGAAAGTGTGGCCATACATGCCATAACCCCAGCATTTGTTGGGGGACAGAGACTGGTGGGTGCCCAGAGCTTAGTGGCCAGTAAACCTCACTGAAACAAGGACCTTGTGGCTCAAAGAGCCACTGTCTCAAAAGTAAGGTCAAAAGTGGGAGTGGAAGACCTCCCACACGTGTGCCTCCCACACACCCTCAGAGATCAAGCAAAGAGATGCTAGCCTTCACTGTCAGAAAGAACACACAGCGAACAATACTGACACACTGCCTTAAGCAAGCCAGGGATTACAAAGCCAGGGAGTCGCAAGGGCTTACCACGCTACCTGAGAATATGGGACGACAGTTTCAAACTGTTGATGAAGTTCTAGCAGCTGAATTAACTCTGTATTCTTTTTAGCTTTTTCTTTAATCAGATTGATATAACGTTCAGGATTTTCTGCGAATGAATATGCAGCATCCTTGCTATTGAAAGTGTAGTATTTTTCTTTATATTTCAAAATTCCAATTGTTGGATTTCCTGTGAAAATTAAGAACAATAATTTAATTAGGCATGAACCACACAATTTTGTTTTTGTGATAAGCCATAGGACCAATGTTGCTATGGGTCTTTTTTCTGTTTTTTTTGTTTTTTGTTTGTTTATTTGTTGGTTTTTGTTTTTGTTTTTGTTTTTGGTGGTGTTGACAATGCAACCCAGAGCTTTCACATGCTAACCAGGAACTGTATGACAGAGCTGTCTGTCTGTCCCACACATCCCATTTTAACATATCAGTTCTATTTTTGTTTTGCTAAAATGTTTTTAAATGATAAATACATGAAATTTATATTGAGTCACATATTTTAAGTTTAAGATATCTTTTATGGAGCTGACATGATGGCTTAGCAGTAAAAGTTAAATAAGGCTCTCGCACAGGACCCAAATTCAGGGCCCGACACCTCTATCTAGTGGCTCCTAACTGTCAGTAACTGTTCTCAGGGATTCATTGCCTCCTTCTGGCCTCCACAGGCACCTGCACTCACATGTACATACTCCCCAACACACACACACAACTTTAAAAATAAATCAGGGACTGGAGAGATGTGTAGCAGGTAAAAGCAAGTCTTGCTTTTTCAGAGGACCAGAGTTTGGTTCCCAGCATCTTCCATGTCAGACAACTCACAACCACCTGTGAGTCCAGATCCTCTGTGGCCTTCCAGGGCACTGGCACACATGTGGCAAATACGTGCACATAAGTAACACAATACAAACAAGTCTTTTAAAACAGCATTTTATGTAAAAATATTTTCTACTATCCAGATGAAATATGTGTAAAATTTTTTTATGAAAACCATTTAGTGTATTTGACAAATTTTGCAAACCTACCTAAATTAATCTAATTACTAAAGTGTGGTGGCATGCGGTCCTTGTGCCCACAGACAAGTACTGAGGTGAGCAGGAATGTTAGGCATGAAGGGTTGTCTCTTCGGCAGGACAGATGTATCCGTGTTTCTACCCAGAAAGCTGGGAGGGGAGGTAGGTGACAGGTTGGTGCCCTGTGCTGTCTGAGCCCTCCAGACTATTCTGTTTATCACAAACTCTTCCTCTCCAGACCTTTAGCCTGAGTATTGTTTCTTAGTCAACAAAGCCCATTCGTATGGACTAGGTCACATGGACTTTGTAAAAATAAGTTTTGGTGTAGTCACACCTTAAGCTTTGTTGTGATAATTTTCACCAGGAAACCTTTTTCCTGTATTTACACTGTATTTAAATAAGCTGCCTGTTGTCAGACTGTAGAAGTTTGAACTAACACTTGCAATGATGAACTGGATTTCCTTTCTTCACTCTCTGCTGGCCCTGGTATTTTCAGAGATCCCCAGAGGAAAAGAGTGATATAAGTATATACAAGAGCTAGTGTGTGTGTGTGTGTGTGTGTGTGTGTGTGTGTGTGTGTGTGTGTTGCATGTGGAGGTGTGTACAAGGGCCAGTGGAGACAAGAATAAGACTTCTGGCCGAGCATGGTGCACATCTTTAATCGGAAAACTCAGGAGGCAGAGGCAGAAGGGTTTCTATGGTTTGAAGGCCAGCCTGGTCTACATAGCAAGTTCTAGGACAGCCAGGACTAAGAGGAGGAGGAGGAGGAGGAGGAGGAGGAGGAGGAGGAGGAGTACATCTGGTGCCCTTCTCTATTATTCTCTGCTTTACTCTCTTGAGACAACTTCTCTCACTAAATCTGGAGTTAGGCTGGCAGCCCTTGCCATTTTCCTATTTTTGTGCCCCAGCCCCACACAAAGGTTATAGGACTGTGCACAGCCAAACCTGGAGCTTTCATGTGGGTTCTAGGTGTTTGACTTGTCCTTCACATTTGCTCAGCTTACTCACCTAACCAGTGAAAGGGTTAGACTAACTTTGTAACCTGTATGTCTTCTAAAGCCTATAGTTTTGAGTTTTAGGTTCAGGTTAAGCTAAAGCCTCTTAGTACCTTTCCAGAGAATGGAAAAATGTGACCCTATCCGTGAGGACAGATAAAAAAAAAAAAAAAGGCAAGCAAGCAATGACCTCACTCAGCAAAAAGAAAGACCAGACCCTTGTCTTTGAGATAGTGTTCCTTAGCAATGAACCCAGACTTCTTCTGAGTAGCTTTTAACCTCCAGCCAAGAGCCCGCAGCCCTAAGCTTCAAGGATGAGCTAACCACCCCCACCTTTAATTGCAGCTGCATCCACACTTGGCAGGACTGGCCAAGCTTGAGCACCTAAGACTAACCAATTATCTTACTTTATAGCTTCCTCGTCCAATCCTAAATTGCCAAGACTGCAACTTCAAATTTCCCACAATTTTTCTTTTAAAAACCTAAAGGCCTTTGTCTCCCGGTGCCACTCTTTGCTGACCTGCAGGGGTGACCCCATTGCGCAATGGTTAATAAACCTCTTGCTTTTGCAACGAGTCTTGGTCTGGGGGAGTTTCTGGGAAGGGCGCGATCTTGAACTCCTGAGCTGTGAGACCCCAGGTCTTACACCAGGTCCACAGCCCCCCTGCTTCTGACTGTTTTCAAAATAACTCTGTAAGAGCTACAGAAATATGACATCTTTTCCTCAGCTGATTTGCATATTTTCAACTATAAACATATTTTACATAGACTGTGGATTATTAAAAATCTGTATGTCTTCTGGAAATTATATAGGAAATGGTAATGCTGTCTTATTTTTCTGACAAATAGTTGTCAACCCTATTCACGTATAGAGAGGATGGGAGGAGAGCAAGCACCTAGTCTCAACAAACCACAAACAGGGGTTAAAGGACAAAGAATGACCAGTGTCTTGAGAATAACTAACTAACTAACTAACTAACTAACTAACTAACTAACTAACTAACTACTTAGCTAGCTAGCTAGAAAATAAGGCAAGCAAGCAAGTTAAATGTAAAATAAGGGAGTCTAAAACTGGCATTTTAATAAAAATTGGTGATTAGGGAAGATGTAATAAAATGGAAGAACAGAACATGAGCTGGGGTAGAGTGACTCCAGAAAAGACTTCTGGCAGACATGAAGTCATATGACATTATGGCAAGCCAGTTTCACATACGTCATGTAGTCTGCACCCCCAAACAGAAGAGGACACTCTACACAGTCCCTCTGAGCAGATGGCTGCTGGTGCCTAGGCAATCATGCGGTGAGTAGAGATGATCCAGTCAACAGGCAAAAGGACTGCGCTGACCTATCCAGGGAGGACTCTGAGACACAGCACCCGGCCGCCCTTCTGCGGTCCTGTTTCTCTTTCTTGCCAGCACAGCTGGTAGAAGCTAGGCTAGGTCACCGCCTCACTGCCATGTTTCTAGGGTTTGTTCCTCATGACAACATAAAGAATAAGTCACTCTGTCCTCTCTACCATGCAGCATAGCATTCCAGCAATTCAGTGACAAAAATAAATTAAAATAAAAAACAACTGTAAAACAGAAAAATGACACAGAGGTCAAGAAAGAAGATGAAGGATGAGGTTAATGGTACAAAGTAAATATCGAGCAGTTTTCTAAGTTTGCATTTACTGTAGTCTGCCCTAGTTTGCTTTATGTTGCTATGATAAAACACAGACTAGAACCAACTTGGGGAAGAAAAGGTTTTATGTCAGCTTGAGGCCCGTCGCTGAAGGAAGCCAGGAAAGGAACTCGAGGCAGGAACTGACGCAGAGAACCAGAGTGGACAGCGCTTCCTGGTGTGCTCTCCGTGCCTGCCCCTGCTACCTTCCTCACACAGCCCAAGCCTCCAGGCGGCACTGTCCACCTCGGTGGCCTTCCTACATTAGTTAGCACTTAAGGAAAGGCCTCCCAGACGTGTGCAGAGGCCAGCCTGATGGGGCAACCCTTTAACTGGGCTTCCTCCTCCCACATAGGTTGCATTGGCAGCTAGACCTAACTGTGACCCTGCGCTCGGAGGCTTCTTGTCATTCCCTCTTCACACGGCACTTTTTAGATTATAATGTATGGCCTCTCAATATATATTTTATTCTTTATTTTGTAAACATCACAGTTTTATGTAGTATGTAATATGTATACCACAGAGAAATGTTAACTAATAAAATATTTCCTTAGAAGAACTTAACAGTGAAATCCTGACCTGTTTTAATGGGATGGAGCTGCACAGTGACCAAGAACATTTTTAAGTGAACACATCACTTAAATAAATATGTATTTTTTCCAGTAACTGTCTTAAAGACATTATTATTACTATTATTATTTAGCACTGCCTAACCAGCACTGCGTTTCTGGACTCCTTCAGTACAGGCGAGCCAGCGCTGTTTCAAGGCACTACAGACTCCATGTTGTGTAATGATGTCCTGGCATCCATAGTATGAAATGTGAAATGCTCCAAAACGAGAAACAACCTGAGCGCCTTCCTGGCACCACAGGGAGAAATTTCATGTGCTAAGCCACAGTAGAAATGTGGGGCACTAAAAGCAATGGACTCTTCTAGCACTCTTTGCACAGAATGTCTATGAAAAATGAGCAGATTTGTTTAAGCTTGGGTCCCATCCCCTATAGCCTCTCATCCTCTCACATGCACAATGAGAAACGTTAGATAAGGGACAGTCAACTGACACCTCCCACGCTTCCTTACAGCCTCAGAGTTGAATCTGTCAGATTACACCGGAAATGCCTTCCAGGTGAGGCCCCTGGATCTCTCTGCATCTCCTCACTAGATCACCATCTGAATCCAGCAAGTTTTGAAGGACAAAGGAGTACAATAAGCACGCCGCACGGAGCAGACACCCGAGGAAAGACTGTTCTAACGCAGTACCTGGGAGGAGAAGACCATCTGTTGCAGCGAACGTGTAGCCACAAAATCCGCGGTACTGAATTAGCAGTTTTTCAAAATTTGCTGTTGTTTCTGGGAAAAGCCACTCCAGTTTTCTAAAATCTGACACACGTACTTTTTCGTCTAAAATGAGAGGGAACAGAAAGCGGTTTTCATCCCTTGAGAAGACGAAATTTCCTAAATCAATCAGTGGTAGGTCCTTCTAAATGGTAACTATTTTTTATCATCTGTACCTTTTATCATCTGTACCTCTCTGACACACACAAAATCAGACTTATTGGGGTGATATTCATGTAAACAAGGGTGAATGCCTCAGTGACTGTTCATGACAGTAACTTGTTAGAGCAAAAGAGGAAGTAGAACTTTGCTTCTGCATTCGTTCTGTGGGACCCTTCAGAGAATTAGTTTCACAGCCAAGGGACAGGTAGCCCAGAGTGCTCTGTCAGGTTCAGTAATGTTCCTGCTGCTACACAGTCAGTTACCTGTGTAACTTTCTACAGGAGTAGAAAGAACTGCTACATGATCAAGAGGATCTCCTTCATTTAAGACAGCATAGGTCTTGGGACAACACTAGCTGGAAAACACCTTCAGTACGGCGCTTGTACAATAGACTGTGCCGCAGACCTGTGGAGACTGTTCCAAACTGGAAGAAGATGTCTTTTACTAGCTTGATTTTGATGAAAAGGTATACAATTTTTGTTCTTTCCACTCTTCTTCTTAAGTGGTTGTTCTTATGTTACGTGTGTGTGTGTGCGTGCATGCATGCCTGGTGCTCAGACCGGAAGCTGCTGCTGGGTTTCCCCTGTTGCTGCAGGTGCAGGCTGTTCCTAGGCTCCTCTGCAAGAGCAGGAAATGCTCTTAAGCATGGAGCATCTCTCCAGCCTGCTCTTTTGACTTCAGAGGTAGTTCCTCATAATTGCTTTACTTACATTGATAACTAAATTGAATCAATCAGATACAAATGATATATTCATGAAAAATGTTTTCTAAGATTCATAATTTTTATAACCACACATGTATTTCAAATATGTCTGATTCTGGGCAAGAACAGCCAACAGTCTCTTTCTCTTGAATGATTTGTATCTACAACTAAAAGCAAAGCCTGACATGGAGAAAATAAATGCCTTATCCTGACTATGCCCAAGATCTCCAGGGGTAAGAAGCAGGTGTAAATTACATTCTTTCAGGAGAATATGGCTCTCACAATTCACAAGAGAATAGCTTCATAAAATATTCTAATGAAGAAAAAGTTCTGAGCCTGCTAGGAAAGACATCTCTATCCCTAAGAAGCTGCAGCTCACTGAACACTCACAGTTGAACTCTTCAGCTCCATTTATCTGCTTAGACACACTGTTTTAATGAAGCGAAATGAGGAGTAAAAACATGCACTGAGGGGATTTGGAGTATCTTAGTTAGCTTTCAGTTTTCCTATAGTCTAATCCTTTAAGAAACAGACTCCCTGTTATATTTTTACTTTCTACTTTTACCAAAATAGAATTTTGTAACAAAAATTAGTAAGTTATCTAACTTCATTTTTCTGGAAGACATTTGAGTATTAGGTTCTATATTCTATATTCTACTTTCATATTTCCTGTGAATTTTAGATTAGCTTTAATTAAGATAAAAGGGGTAAAAAAGTTGATAAAATAAATAAGACTTGACTGATAATGTTGCCTTTCTTTATGAACCAATACATCATTTAAAGGGCTTAAAATCAGCTCAATTAATTTTGTAATGATAAAATGATTTGTTTCACAAATTTTAACTTGACTCTAGAAGAGATGTAGCAAATATTCATTAAAATGCAGCTTTATCTGCAACAAATATCACAAGGATTGTTCTCAGTATATCAAGTACAAACCCAGCACTTCTGTAACATAAATCATTAACACACAAAGCCAGAACATGGAGAGCCCCATGAGAATTAATTTCTGGACAGTAAGATGTTCACCTTCTGTGTCTGTATTTTTCACACCTACGGCCTTTCTGAGAGAGGGTCTACAGCCTCCCAGGCTGGCCCTGAGCTTACTGTGTAGCCCAGACTGGCCTTCACCTCCCGAGCGTCCTTCCTCTACCGCCTGCATGCTGAAAACTAAAGGAGTGTGCCACAATGTCTGTGGTGTTTTTTTATCTTTTCTGTAATGAACATCAGTGCTTCACAGTTAAGATGTTCAGTTTTTTATCCGAAAGCTTTAGCATGAAAACAAGAAGAGTGATTTCACACTCAAGGTGGCTATAAGGGAGAAGAAAATGGTGGCTGGTGGCATTACCCATGTGCTCCTTTATTCTGGCCATATCAGTCTTCACAGTGACGTCATCCAGAAGACTCTGGATCGATTTCTCGGGATAGAGAAGCTCATGAGTGCCCAGGAACAGCTCCAGGTTAGTGGTCAAGTTAGTGAGGACGCTAATCAAAACGGTCTCATCCTGAAAGCTCATCCACAGATTTGCCAGAGCAATGAAGATAGGCTAAAGGGAGAAAAACACCAAGAACGTGGGTGTGTGGTGGGGCTGTCCCTGTACGCTTAAAAACAAATGCCATGAGGACACTCCTGAAGTCAAAGCCTCATGCAACTTCAACAGGCTCCTGAGTTAGGACAAGAAAAACTTGTGCTTTCTTTCAAAGTATTCTATTTGGCATAGCTGTTATTAAGTCAGTTTACTCCAAAAGTATACACATGAATCTAAGCATCTAATAAATAGTAATATTTTACCTCAAAAGGCCAAGGAGGAAAATATGCTTTTAATTTTTTATTTAAAAATGAAATAATTATAGTAGATTTATATGGCCCGATCGTGAACCACAAGAAGCTGGAAAGCTCACACGCACCTCTTCGGGCTTGTCAAGAGAGCTGCAAGCCAAAGCTTCAGATCACCAAGCAAAATATTTTATTCACAATAAAAATTAATGACTTACAGAACAAACAGAAAGTCAATCAGGCCTCACATAGAAGCTTGTTTTTCTAAAACCAACGTTGAGAATGACCGGAGGGGCTGGAGAGGCTCAGCCATCAGAGGCTCGGCTCACAACCGAAATATAGGAGAATGGCTGCAAGAAGCCATCATGGTCTGTGTGCACGTAAAACGCCTGTATAGTTCAGAACTACCTTCTTCAGAACAGGGCTGCAGTGGCTTTTCTATAAAATGGTGGCGTTAATCACCATGTCAATGCACAGTAAACACGAGGTCATCTTCTTTTCAGAAAGAGACAGGAGTTTACCTCTTCTGTGCCAGACGCAATTTCTGATGATTACCTTGAACACGCTCTCCTCCTCCCTCCTCTCTCCCTCCTCACCTCTCTCCCCACCTCCGTCTTCTCTCTGCCTTCTCCCCTCCCTCTCCCCCCATCTCCACGGGTGTGACTGTGTAGAGACCAGAGCCTGGGCTTGCTTATCTGGAGCATCACTGAACTGGAGCGCACTGATTGGCTAATAATTCAGCACCAGAAATCCCCCTGCCTCTGTCTACACAGCACCATGGGTGGCGTTTTACACGGGTGCTGGGGATGTGAGCTCAATGCTCGTGTGCTTCTGTGGCCAGCCCTCCGCCAACTGAACCGTCTTCTCATGTCTATAGACACACTTTCAGCACCACCACGGGCCGCTGTGTCGCCGTGGGTCCTGTGGTCTTACTAGAGCTCAGCACTTCGTGAGCGGCTCCCTCCGTCAAACAAAGGCCAGGCCATTACTGTGCATCTGCTGATGCTGTGTAGGATATAATGCCACATACTGTATGCGCATGCGAATGGAATTATAAGGATTCTGAGCCCATGGATAAGGCTCAAAAGGAGGCTCAGTCTTAAGAAGTTACGCCTGCCATGGTGGCACGTGCTCGCATTCCGGCACCCAGGAGGTGGGCACAGGAGGACCGACATTCTAAGACAGGTTGAAATGTTGAGATACATAGTTAGGAACTGCCCAGAAGAACAAACAAAACCAACCAACCAAACAAAAAACAAAATGTAGGCGAGGAAATTAGCTCAGCAGTAGAGCTAATTTGTACACAGCTGGGTTTGATCACAGGGGAAGAAAGGTTTGGATTAGCAACATGGCTCAGCGCGTAAAAGCACTTAAAAGCCCAAGAGCTCAGGTTTGGTTCCAGGGTCCCACTAAGAAAGGATCAGCTCCTGAGCGCGCCTCTCTGGCCTCCGCATGCGCAGTGTGGCGTGGGCCTTCTCCATAATCAACAAAGTGAAGTGTGTCTTAAAAAGTCAAGCTCACCGAGTGTGATTGTGTGTGCCTCTACACCAGCAGAGCGAGGAAGGCCCTTGTGACGCCGAGGATCAGCTGGTCTCCAGAGCAAGTTCCAGGCCAGTTAAGGCTACGTACCGAGAGCCTGTCTCAAAAGAACAAGGTCGAAGGGGATGGCAAATACTTACAAAGACTTGTGATGTTGGGATAGCTGTCTTTGACTTTACTGTCATTTTCAATTGTTCCAGTTGAGCTGCTAATTGTTTTATCATCAGTTCCACTTCTTGAGCACAAGTAATTATATCTGACTGTGAAGACAATGTAATCGTATTAGTATTTTATCATTTTACTGGCGGTATCATGAGTTAAGTCCTACCAGCCCCCACCTTCCAAGCGACGCCGATGTCCTCCCTGCCAAACAATGTGGACAGCACCAGTTACCTCACGGTACTAGAGAGAATCAACAACTATAAATTAGCTTCCACCAACACAGTTCCACTAACATCCAACTTAACTTTGCTGTTTCTGTGGTAAGCCCTGCTCACGCCACGGCCACACACACTTCCTTAGGCTGCCTCCTTCGTGCGCCACCTTGTTCTCAAGGGACTGTGTTCCACAGAAAATACCAAATTTTGTGACATTGGCTCACCAAAATAGTCTGAAGGAAGATCTCATACTGTCGAATATTATACAGCGCTTCCTTTAACATATACGGCTCAAGTTCCTTGGTTTTGAGCGGGTTCTTTGTTATTTTCTCAATGATGGCTGTGTAGCGAAATGCCAGGTCTTGGGCAGTCTGGAGCTGGGAGTCGATGCGCTGAGTGGTGGCTGGGATGGCTTCATGGAGGATGGCTGGTACTGTTTTCGAGGGCGTGAGAGCACAGGCGTGAGAGAGGGGAAAGCAGGGGAAAAGAGCCGAGAAAATAGCTGTATTTTAAACATTAAATTGAGTCACATTTTTCCTTTTAATAATAATCCAGCATGTGTTTCACAGTCCCACCCTATGCAGAAGAGAACCTGCCCAAACAAACAAACAAGCAAACAAACAGTGTCATAATAATAAAAAAAAGCATAATCAGATCCAATTTCTCACTAAAAAATAGAAAACTTTGGTAGAAGCTCTCCTTCTGAAAAAGCAGATTTGAAACACATGTGAAAACCTTATCTGGACTCTGAAAATAAACAGATCAGCCTAGCAAGGGAAGGCACTCTGACTGGTGGGGAATTCTCATAATTTTTGCATTTATTTAATGTGTATGAGCATTTTCTCTGCAGACATACGTGTGTGGTGCGCGTATGTATGTACAATGTATGTGCGCATATGTATGTGTACAATGCCCACAGCGGCCAGAAGAGGGTACTGGAGTTACATGTTCTAGCTCCCTGGGACGGTTTTAACTACCACATGGGTGCTAAAAAGCAAATCCAGACACTCTAGAAGAGCAGCAAACCCTGAGCCAGCTCTCCAACCTGGAATTTGAATTTTTATAACAATTAAAAAAAAATAAAAGCAAACAAGAAAAACTCTTGTAGAGCTGGAGGGGGCGGGGATGTAACTGTGGTCTCCCAGCCCCAAAACGTTAGGAAGGAAGGCGAGAAAGCAGGCTGGGTGGCCCGATGGCACAGCCTGCCGTTAGTAGAATCCAGTGATCAGCCGTCAGGTAAAGGACGGTAACAACTTGTCAATGGGCCTGCAGAAGTGTACGAGTCACACCAAATTACTTCTACCACTAGGTCCTTTCTTAGATGTTTTCTAAGTATTTTCAAGTTTACAAATAAAAAATTCACTATGGGGCTGGGTGTGGTGGTACAAGCCTTTCATCCTAGCACCCGGGATCTCGAGGCAGATAGACAGATCTCTGTGAATCAGAGACAAGCCTGATCTACATGGTAAGTTCCAAGCTATTCAAGGTTACACAGTGAGATCCTGCCTAAAAAAATGTTTTTAAAGCATTATGTATATGAATAACAACACAGAGTTGTCCCTGAATTTGCACACCTCCAATTATCTCCTCTTCGGCCTTTTCATCCCATTAATCACACCAGCACCAGTTTCTTTCCAGGGTGATTTTTACTTTTAAGTCAGTTTTCCTCCCGTTGGCATGAAGTAAAAGCCATACTGCACTAAGGAGGTGGATTCTGGGCTTGTCTGCTCCACGGTGAAGTTAAGCCTTGAACACACAGAACCTTCACAATCAGCCTGAACACACACTCACAGTCATCAATGCCTTCGCCTCCTTTCCCACAGTCTCTGTTAAATAACCGAATTCCAGTGACAATCATGGTGAGCTCTTTCAGCTGGCGTTCTTTGTCCTTCTTACTGAGAGTCAGAAATGTCCCAACCTCGGCCAGAGGGAAAACGCTCTGCAGGGCAGCTGAAACAGATCACGGGAAGAACACGTGATGGAGAGAAACACCATGATGGGATAAACCCACCAGAACTTTGATTTAAAGTGTCTTTCTGAAGGGGGAGTTAGTATGACGTGGAAAGGATAGGAGCTCCACAAGGACCAAATATATCTGGGCACAGGGGTCTTTTCTGAGACTGACACTCCACCAAAGACCATGTATGGATATAACCTAGAACCTCTGCTCGGATGTAGCCTGTGGTAGCTCAGTAACCAATTGGTTTCCCATAATAAGGGGAACAGCGACTATTTCTGACAGGAACTCAATGGCAGGCTCTTTGACCTCCCCACCCCCCAAGGGAGGAGCAGTCCTGTTAGGCCACAGAGGAGGACTTTGCAGCCAGTCCTGAAGATACCTGATAAAACAGGGTCAGATGAAAGGGGAGGAGGTCCTCCCCTATCAGTGGACTTGGAAAGGGGCAGGGAGGAAATGAGGGAGGGAGGGTGAGATTGGGAGGGAATGAGGGAGCAGGATATAGCTAGGATATAGAGTTAATAAAATGTAACTAATAATAAAAATAAAAATAAATAAAGTCTTTCTGTCCATAGAAAGTTAAGGGCTGGGCCTTTCTAGTGTTACATATATACATTTTAAAAATACATTTATGATACCTGCTACAGCATGCAAAGCAAAAGTTACCAAATACCAGGGCTGGGCTATTGAAAATGATGTTATTGTCTCTGACTTTTTTAACTAGTAAATTGGTAAAAAAAAAAAAAAAAAAAAAAAAAAAAAAAAATCTAATTAAGGCTTTGAATAGAAAAATTTTTATTTTAAAGTAATAATTGAAAAATATAACAGGAAGGCTGGATACCTTGCCTAGTCCTCCATTATATCTTGGTTTTGGTTTTCTGGGGGGAAGGAAGCTTCATGTAATTGGGCTGGCATCAAACTAAGTACGTAGCTCAGGCTGGTCTTGAACTCCTGATTCTCCTGTGTCCCACATCCCAAGTGCTGCAGATTACAGACAGGCACCACTACACCCAGCTCTATCCCCATTTTAAAGTATTAGTGGGACATGTTTCCTGAGAATACAAAGATTGCCTCTTTCAATACCCTAGCCAGACACTGGGCTCAATGCCTTTCCCCCTGTATGGAGTACTCCTGTCCAGCAGTCCCGGTCATCCCACGAGCCTAGTGCCCTTAACAATACCGCTAATGTTCCACTTGAGAGTCGAGCAGGTCACTGGGCACGCACAGTCTCCAAGAAAATCAAACTATCTCACCACCTAGAAGCTGCTTGGAGATCCCAATTGAAACACGGTATAAACGGTATCTCAGGGTTATTCTGAGATTTATTTTTATTTATGTGTTGTGTGTTGTGTGTGTGTGTGTGTGTGTGTGTGTGTGTTCCAGTACCCTTGGAGGCCAGAAGAGGTGTTGGAGCCCCTGTAACTAGTTTGTGAGTGGCCTGACATGGATGATAGGAATTGAACTCAGGTCCTCTGGAAGAGCAGCAAACATTCTTAAACACTGAGCCATCTCCACAGCCTATGAAGGTTTTTGTTTGTTTGCTTGCTTGCTTGCGTGTTTTAGGAAGAAAACAATTTTTAAATTTATTTTTATCCACTTTACATACTGGTTATAGCCCCATTCCTCCTCCCCTCCCAGTCCCATCCTCTTTTCCTCCCCCAACCCCCTCACCTATTCCTCAGAAAAGGGGAGCTTCCTTTCTAATCCAGTCCAGCTCATCAAGTTGCATCAGAACTAAACCTGTCCTCTTCCTCTGTGGCCTGGCAAGGCACTCCTGCCAGGAGGAAGTGATCAAAAAGCTGGCAAGTGAGTCTGTGTCCCATGAGTCCCCACTCCCTGCACTAGAGGACCCACATGAGGCCTAAGCGGCCCATCTGCAACATCATTACAGGGGGCCTAGGTCCAGTTCATGCATGGTCCTTGGTTGATGCTTCAGTCTCAGCAAGCCTCTCTGGGCCCTGGTTGGGTCTGTTGGTCTTCTTGTGGAGATCCTGCCACCTCCAGGTCCTTTTCTCTTTCCTCCCACTTTTCCACAAGATGCCCTACTTATAGCCCAATGTTTGGCTGTGAGTCTCAGCATCTGTTTTGAGGTGCTGCTGGGTAGTCTCTCAGAGAACAACTCTGACAGGCTCCTGTCTGCAGGCTTAGCCAAGTATCGTCTCTAGGAGACTGGTCTAGTTAGAGAGTATATGAGGTTTGTTGTTGTTTTTTTTTAAGTTGCTTTTTAAAAATTATTGTCATCATCTTTGTCATCATTTAGCCCAGCGAACGGGTTTCGTCATGACATTTCCGGATTGTATACTGTACTTTATCATCGTTACCTACCCACAGCAACTCCTCTGCTTCTCCTCTCCATTCCTGTTGCTCCCAATATAGGCCCCATTCTGATTTCAGTTCACGCATATGGTATGTTGACTCCCTTAGGAGGGAAAACGTGAACTATTCTGTTCTCCTGTTACCCTCTCGTTCTCCTCCCCTACATACTCCCCTCCCTCCTTATAGTTCTTCCTTTTACTTTCAAGTCATTCATACACATTTGAATATGTCTAGGAATCAGGGTAAGTCTGAACATATTACATGTGCTGATTTTCTTTCAGATAGAAGGGAAATTCCAATCTTTACTGTATTTTATAAAATGCAATGGCAGGAACTAAGGAGATGGCCCAGTGGGTAAAATGCTTGCCACACAAGAGTGAGGACCAGAATCTGTGTCCCCAGGACTCATACAAGCCATACAAGCAGGTGCAGCAGCCATTCCTGTACCATTTCAGCATTACAAAGGAGATTCCTGAAGCAAGGTCTTTTGAGTGGCCACACTGAAATGGAGGGTTCTGGGTTCAGTGAGGGCCCTGCCTTAGGAAGATGCTCATTGTCAACCTGTGGCCTCAGCATACACAGGCACACATGAGCACACACCCCCTCCACACAAAGGCACAAGCACACACGCACAAACCACACATGAAAATACAGTGGGCGTACAGGTTCACTTATGGAATGAAAGTCACTTTTGCTTTTTACCCGTTGCCTCTCTGACAATCTTGATGTCTGTGGGGGACCCGAGCCCAGACCGCAGTAGCACATAGCTCACAATCTTTCTGTAGAGGCTTTCCAGTTCTTCTCTAGTGCATGCTCTGTTGTCAGTAATTTCTCTGCAAACAGCTCCTAGTCTGGACTCTAGGACCCGGTGATGTTCTTCAAGAAAGTCCTCTAAAATGAGAAAATAACAGTACTTGAATGCTTGAATTCTCCTCAGATAAGGACTTGAGAAAAATTGGTTTGGGGTGGCACTCTTAAGAAAACAAAAGCCCCTGACATCCTACTTCCAATGCTGAGAATGAGCCCCATGAGCTAAGTCCCTAAACCCTGACTTCTTGAGGTATAGTGTTGAGAAAAAAACAAAACAAAACAAACAAACAAAAAACAGTGGCAGCAAGAAACCTAAATACAGAGACCTAGTAGGGAACATTATCACAGCAATTTCAAGAGAGTATTCTGTTAGAACACACATGTAAACACACATAAACATATAAACGCGTAGAGTAGAATGTGAAATAGGTGGCCTATGTGTTCTTGTTACAGTACACGTATTTTCACCCTAGGTAAATGTCCTCTGAGTAACATTACCGATAGTGCAGTAGTGCATTGTCCTAGTAAAGTTTCTATTCATGTATAAACACCATCACCAAAAGCAACTTGGGGAGAAGAGAGTTGAGTCAGCCTACACTCCAACATCAGGAGGATGTCGGCAAGAACCAAGAAGCAAGGGCTGAGCAAAGGGCATGGTGGAGTGCTGCTTACAGGCTCACTCCCCACGCCGACCCCCCGGGTTTGCTCAGCCCACGGTGGTACTGTCTACACTGGACCAGGCTCTCCCACATTAATCGTTAACCAAGAAAACACCCCCACAGACTTGCCTACAGGCCAACACGATGGAGTCATTTTCTCACATGACATTCCCTCTCCTCTCCAGTGACCCTAGCTTATGTTAAGCTGGCAAAAAGAAAAACAAGCAAGGAAGCAAGCAATCAAAAACAAAAAAACTAGCCAGCAAATGTGTAAAGAATGTATCTTTTTTTTTCTTCCTGTGTCAAGCTGTGGCTGGTTTATTCTGGTTTACTACCAGCATAATTCTTACAATTTACTAAGATATTTCAATCAAAATTCAACAATACAACATTCATAGCTACAACTTCACCACAAGAGCAACTGAGAACTTTTACAAACTGAAAAAAATAGAAATTAAGTTTTTTTTTATTTCATGGTTATTTTTTGCTTTGGAACTTTATTGTTATTAAGCAAAAAAGATGGAATATATTACATATTAGCATGACTGAACACCTACTGCATAAAAAATAAAGTCAACAGATGGTTAATTATGATTGCATTATAAAAAATAGTTCATCTCCCTCCATTTCCAACATGTCATTGATGTAGACCTTACATATAAATATAAAATATAAATAGTAAATATAATTAAATGCATTCTAAACCTAAATCTTCCACATTACTTCACTCTGGAGTAGTTACATAGTTTAAATATTATGAGATAATACTTAAAACCAAGAATAAGAAGGCCTAAAAATTAAGAATTTTAACTCCAGTGGTTTAGTTCCTAGTTTTTAAAAATCAGTGCCATAAACAATAAAAATAGATAAGCTTGGAAACATAATTTTATGGGCATATAGTTTCAAACTGACTTTAGCTTCCATCCCATCAGCTGGCATTTTTTCTCATTGGGATTTCCAGAACTATTGTATTCTTAAATATGGTGGTGCTTACTCAAAGGCTTGGTATCCAGCCCGTACTATCTCGAGGAGACGACAGATCCTCAAGGAGTTGGGATCCAGTGGAAGGTGTTTGGGTCCCTGGAGATATACCCTCTGGGACCCCCTGCTTCATCTTCCCTTTTGTATCCCAGTCATGAGGTAACTGACTCTTCTGAGACCCATGTTCCTGCCAAAATGTGCCTCCATGGGCCCCAAAGCCACAGGGCCAACATAGTAGGCGCTGAAACCTCTAAAGTTGGACCCAAACAGACTTTTTTTTGTGTGTAAAGTGCTTGTCACAGGCATTTTGAGAATAATTACAGAAGGCTACCTAACAGATCACACATGGAAAATATCAAAAGCCCAACAAAAATTCATTTCATTAAACAATTAAGCCTATTATCAACCAAATTAAAACTTTCTTGCCTAAAATGCAATATTTTAAAATATACTTTTAATATGTTTGAAAAATAGGTATTATCTTACCTCGACTTGTGTAATTCATATCAAAGTAGACCTGCATCTTAATGGTGTCCAGGGATGGATTTTTATTGTCCAATAGCCGAGCCACACAAAGCTAGAAGAGAACATCGCTTCTAATACATTTTTCCTGAAAAAACTCAAGGGGTTGTTTTGTTTGTTTGTTTCTGTTTAAAGTTTTGAGAGGTCTCATGTAGCCCAGGCTGGCCTTACATAGCCCAGGCTATGTCCTCACTACGTAACCCACCTGTCCATTGCTCAGATTACCACACCCGGCTTTATGCAGTGAATACATGCAGGATGTTGGACATACATGTTGGACATGCAGGATGTCCAACACAGGGCTTTCTTCATGCCAGGCAAGCATGAGCTATGCTCTCCTAGGTTATTTTCAAAAAGAAAAGAGAACGGGCAGAGCATGATGCTACACTCCTGTAAAGCCAGCATCTCAACACTCAGAAAACAGAGGCGGGAGGATCCACGAGCGTCTTGGGTCAGCCAGAACTATAAACCAGATCCCAGGGAGAGAGACAGAGGCTGAGGAGGCTGTGGCAGACAGCATTGCCCTGACGCCTGTGCCCGCACCTGCCCCACTCACACGGAACCACAGGTTTGAGTTATCTGCCTGAGGGCCACTTACTATCTCCTTTTGGACAGTAAGTATACACCTATGCCAAGGGTTCAGAGAACTCTTATTTTTAGGCAGAAAGTGACAACTGATACACCGGGGACAACTGTTTTGCCCTTTGTCTTTCCCCTTCTTCCATCAGGGGGCACGACAATTACTCTGTGACACGAGGAAAGCCAAGGATGAGAGCCCAAGAAGCCAGGATCAACCTATGTATTGGGTTCTATTAGAAAATAACCCTTCACTTATTTACAGCACCATTTTGTGTTTCTTTATAATGTTGCTGGAGACAATGATGGATCACACACGTGTTGTATTTAAAACTGAAAATAAGTAATCCCAACCGTGAGGACTGTCAAACCATCACCTTAACTAGTTTCTGCACGTCGCTCTTCATGAGGGTCCTGTCCATGTTAAAGCCATTGCTGGGATCCAGGACAACCGCCTTCACCTACAAACAGAACGGGCCAGGTCATTCCAGTTCATATCTCGAAATTAATTCATCTCCGTGTGTTAACCGGCTTCCCTGATGCTTAGCTAGTTGTCTTATCACCCACCTTAATGCTCTCATTAGCGACTGGAGACAGAAATCAATGGACATAGAACTTGAGTATGGGCTAGAAAACTGCACAGCGTGGAGGCTGCCACGTTTGCGGTGTTAGAGCAGGAGACTGGCATAGCTCACGTTTTCATTGTGTGTTGTTAACCAAAGCGAGAACACAGACACCGAAACAGGGAGTGACTCTTTCAGCGTGCGTCTGAACAAAAAGGCCTGTTGAAGCTGCACAGCCGCACATGACCGCGGGCTCGCGGCTCACAGGCTGTCAGTCCCTGCAAACCTGCAGCACGCAGCACACACTTCGAAAAGATACCTTTCTCTAAGCCATCTGATGACCCCAGTATGTTCTAACTAAAGCAGCATCAGGAAAGCTCTCAAGAATTGTAAAGGAAAAACAAACAAAAAACTAGCTATCACATTAAAAAATTTTTTTGGTAACACAGCGACTTGAAAAATTAATCATCTTACCATAAAAGCGACCACCGTTTCGGAAGCAATCTCTCCGTGGGCTGCGCATTCTTGCCCTATTTCTCGTATAATATTCTTTATAACACTTTCTGCTTGAGTGGGAGGCATTGTGGCTAAATAAAGCAATAGTTTCCTTTTAGTAATTTCACCTACGTATTTTTCCTCTTTAGATTCCGATGTTAGTCTGTAATACCCATAATGTCTACCGAATTATTGCTATTTAATTATGATGCAGTTCCCCTCTTTTTATTTTATTTTTTTTCACTTTAAGTGCCTGTTAATGACGGAGAGTAACTGGGATTCCCCCTCCCCCATATTTAAGTTGTGCCACCATCAAAAATATATATCATGATGTTAAAAAAAAAAAAAAATAGCTAGGAATGGTGGCATGCGTGTTTGATCCCAGCATTCGGGAAGCAGATGCAGGCCGATCTCTAAGAGTCTGAGACTAGCCTGGTCCACACAGTGAGACCCTGTCTCAAAAACAAAATACAAATGAATGAATGAGTAAATAGAAGTTGGGCAGAATTTGGGGGGGGGGAGTCCCCGCGAAGGCAGCAAGAATACAGCTTATAAAAGAAAGTGCTTATCAAAACGTTCACTAGCGGATCTTTCACAACTGTACTTTGCTAACTAAGAAAATGTCCTCCTGCCGGGGGAGCAGCAGGCCGAGCCCGCCCCTCCCCGCGCGCTTGCGCAGAGCGGATCCTGCCCGCTGTCCCAGGTCGGTTACCGACTTCGCACCAGCCCCGCAGCTTTCCCAGGCCGGTCTCCTCGCCGGTACGCCTGCGGTTTAAGGGTCCTCAGTGCCCACGGCGCTGGCCTTGGTCCTAACGCCTGCGGGGCCCCAGAGCCCAAGCGGTAGACGCGTAACCATGGAGACAGAAGGAGGCGCCAGAAGCTGTGGGCGGGGCCGTGGGCGGGGCGGGGCGGGCCCCTGGGGTGGAGCCTTGGGAAGAGGGGCTCCTTCTCGGTCTCCCGGGAGACACCAGGGGCGTTTCCGCTGGCACCTCCGCCCTAAGACACCCAACAGGAGTTCTCCAACAAATGTTGGACGGACAGACGGTGTTCGCGGTAACTCGCTGGCGTGGAAACGCGGAAAACGCGTCAGCTGAAGAGACCGAGGAAGCCTAAGGCGCTTGGAGTTATCCGTGCTCACAGTTTTTTCAGAGGAATGCTTTCGTGCTCTCGTTCTCAAAGGAAGTCTGTATCCGGGTGTTCCAAAATGCCGTGATAAAACTGTTCATTCAGAAAGTATATTCACGCCAGGTGCGGCGAGACAGGCCCGCAGTCCCAGCCCTTGGGATGCTAAGATAAGAAAACGCAGCGAGTTAAGACCCCACGCTGCGTAGTGAGACTCCGCCTCTACTGCCCAGAAGCTGCAAGTAAGGAAATCTCCACTTTTGGAATTGGGGATAATAACTTTTGTTTGTTTGTTTGTTTGTTTGTTTGTTTGTTTTGAGATAGGGTCGCGCTCTGTAGTCTTGGATGACGTGTAGACCAGGCTGGTCTTGAATTCACATAGTTCTACTTACCTCAGCCTCCCGAACGCCGGTCGTGTGCCACCGTGTCGGCTCAATGATGGTGTTTTTGATTCTTAAAAATGTTTGTTGCAGAATTGGAAATGTGGCTCAGAGGTTAAGAGCACTGACTGCATTTACAGAGGGCTGAGTGTGATTCCCAGCACCCACATGGCAGCTCACAACTGTCTGTAACTCCAGTCCCAGGGGAGCCAACTCCTTCTGGCCTCTGCCGGTGCCTGGCAAAACACCAGTACCACACGATAAAATAATAATAAATTTTAGAAGTTTTCAATGATTGTTGGGTGAGCCTAATGCGCTTTTTAAAACACTCTTTATCATCTTTAGTTATTTATGGGGCGCACTCGTGAGACTACAGGCCTGTGACAGCAGTCAGTTCTCCCTTGACATGCGGGAAGAACACATTTAGTTAGTTTTCCTTTCCAGGTAACAGTTCATCACTGAGGGAAGGGCAGGAACTCAAGGCAGGAACCTGGAGCAGAAGCCATGGAGGAACACTGCTTACTGGTTTGCTCACTGGCTCATGCTTAGCTAGCTTTCTTTTTTATTAATCAATCAATCAATCAATCGATTGATTAATGTGTGTGCATGTATCTGGCAGGTGCCTATGGAGGTCAGAAGAGTCCATCAGATCCTCTGGCTAGGTAACCTGGGGCACTTATTTGTAAGCCTTTTGCCGTGGATACTTTGATCAGCTTCATGACTGAGTATCAAAGTGCTCTTCATAGCTGAACAGTCTCTCCATCCCCATAACTATCGCTCTTACGTAGCCCAACCCCTGCCCCAGGGATGGTGCCCCTCGCAGTGGGCTGTGCCCTCAGTCATCAATCAAGACGTTCTTACAGACAAGCCCAGGGGACAGTCTGATTGAGCAATCCTTCAACAGAGGTTCCTTTTTCTTGGTGAATCTGAATTGTGTCAAGTTGACAGTGAAACCAGGCAGACCATGAGCATTATTTTGAAGGGATAAAAGCTAGGACTGAACAAACATTAAAAACAGAACATCAAACAAAGTTCTGTTTAATTTTTCTGAGGGTCTTTTCTTTCCTTTTTTTTGGTGGGGGGGAGGGAGAGACGGGATCTTGCTGTGTTACAGGATGATCTCCATTTACCATCTTCTGTCTCGGCCTCCAAATGCTGGAAATGAAGGTGTGCACCATCCCAGCCACCAGGATGCTATCTGCACGTTTGTGTGCGATGGGCACGTGGCACACACAGGTTTAGATGCAATGTGTGCATGTGGAGGCCAAAGGGTGACGTTTGGTCTCCTCCTTTCTTCTGTGTCCACCTAATACCCTGGGGTAGATCTCTCAGTAAACCAGCACACCACCACACCCGCCTGCTTTTTCAAGCGTGTTCTGGGGAGCCTCAAGACCGTGGCTAACACATTTGCAAGCTCCTGCTGCTGCTGGTGGCAGCTTAGGACTTTCTTGCTTCTTTTTTTTTTTTTTTCATCCTTTCTGTCTTTCTTCTTTCTCTTTTCAGTGCTAGGGATCAAACCAAGAACCCCACAGATGATAAGTGAGTGCTATATCACAAAGCACTCACAAATATAGCAATACGGCTATATTGATCCCTGGGTTTTTCTTTGCCTGAGATAGAAACACCTAACTGGTTCCAGCTGAGGCCACTCAACCTTCAGCCAAGACAAACATGTCTGGTGCATGTCATTTTAAGCTGCTGGGTTTGGGGATGGTTTAGTAAAGCCTTTGAGTAGTTGTTGATATGTAAATGATCTAAATTTTTGTTCAGACACAGATAGTCGGTGGGGCACGCTGGCCCACGGCTGTGATCCCAGCATGGAGGAGACCAAGGGAGGAGGCTGAGAGCTTCACAGAAAACTCCTGTCACAAATATGTCCTACTTCTGTTGTGAGAAGTGAATGTGATAGTGCTTGGTGCAGTGTCTGGAAATAAAATATTGGGCTGGATGCTATTGTCATCACTGTTGCAACTGATTGGACCTCTAGTCTTTGCGGCACTGATTTTTCCTGGTTCTAATATGGCACCAATTTATAAAGAAACATGGAGGAGCTAAAACAGATTGAGAGAATGGTAAGAAGAAGTTCATCAGGAAAAATGAGAAGGAATTGTATATATTTGTTCTGAAAGAAAAAAAGCAATAAAACTATTCTTTTTGTTAGAAAAGACTGGGGACTTAATATTTGTTTCAGAAGACCAGATTGGAAATCTACATATGTTGAGCAATTTAACTTAAAAGAGAATAAATAAGGCTGACAACATTTTCAATAAACACTATCCTATTGGGATTGTTTTTTTAGATTATTTGAAATACAACTTTATTCTGATTCTAAATGAAAAGAATGGGAATGACAGCAATGAAGAAGATTTCACCACTGTGAACTGTGATGCGATTGGAGCTGTCTTATCTTTGAAATTCAGGAAGGAAACAACTCTGTTCCAAACAGCTAAATTTGCAAGTCCAAAAACAATGAAAGTGTGTTTTAACTGCCACAATCACTCCGGAGAGCGTTCTTCTCCTTAGCATCCCAATGAAGCACACAATCTATTAGCTAAGATAGATTAGCTAATAGATTAGCTCTGAATAATATTCAGATCTGTAGTTTGCCCACCTATCTAAATTCATATGTAGCTTATTGTTGTCTTATGGAACAGGCCCTCATTCCATAGCCCAGGCTAGCCTGTAAATCACTGTGTGCTCCAGCTGGCTTCACACTCATGGCAATCCTCCTACTTCCGCTTCTTGAATGCTGAGATTATAGGTATGAGCTACCACTTCCCACTGTCTCTCTCTCCCTGTCTCTCTCTCTCACACACACAGGGTTTTGTGTAGAAAAAAAAATTGTTGTGTTTGGCTAAATACTCATATGATAGAGTATGCTCTATTTTATAAAAAAGGATAATTTCCAACTGCTTTCTAAAGTGGCTGTATCAGTTTGCATTCCCACTATTCAGGCTGCCTGTGGTCGTGTGTGTCTGTTCTGTACTCCAAGGCAGAGTCCGGAGGATTGCCATTTTAAAGCCATCATCAGCTATATAGACAACCTGTCAAAAACTTTTTAAAAGTAACCTTGTGTCTTTTTCTGTGACGTTTCTGTGTATTTGTGATTTACAATGAGGCTTGTGGTCATTCTGACTTAATTTCCATGAGGGTGGAGTAGTGTCTGTGCATCTTCCCACTTTTCATTGTTTGCTCCTTTGTTAGAGACACTACATTCTATCTGTATGCTCCATTCTGGACCCAATTCTTCAATTGTTCCATTTGTCTATTCTTTACTTAATATACTGCCATGGCTACTATAGCTTTGAAGTAAGTCTTAAAGCCACGGAATATCAGCCTTTTGTTTTATTTATTCTTTTGTTATAATTTACTTATTTTTATTTTATGTGCATTGGTGTTTTGCTGGCATATATGTCTGGGAGAGTGTCAAATCTCAGTTGTTGTTATAAAGAGAATCCCAGATGTTTGATTTTACCAATGAAAACTCAGGAGCCAAATGTTGGAATGAAAATTTGCTAGCCCAGAAAGGCAGATAAAGCACCCAGCTGACCTTCCTATTCAGTTCACATCCCAGAAGGAAAAATCTTCCTACTCAGCTCCAAAAGCTAAAAGCCCAAGGCCGAAAGCTTTCCAGATGAGCTGACAGCCCAGGAGCCAAAGAGCCAAAGTAAGAGCCAAAAAGCCAAAGAGTCATGAGCCAAAGAGCTAAAGAGCTCTTTCTTCTTCTCCACGCTGTCATAAATACTCCTCAACTCAAAATCCCTCCTTTCTATTTAATCCCTGTCAGCTGGTTTCTCAATCTGCTTTGATAAAGTTAACCTAGAGTTAAATTTATTAAATCCTGTGTACAGGAAGCTCTTGGATTATAATGGTGTGTGCTAGGGCCGAAGCACACCAAACAAAAAACAGGTTTTTACAGTTCTCGACCTCTGGGTTCACAATGGGTTCAAATATCCTGCAACACTCAGTAGTATCTTTTTCACTCAGGGAGGCTTTATGAAAGACTATATGTAACAAGCTCAGTAACTACCACCCAGATGCATCAAGCGAAACCCTAACTACAGAAGACACTTTTGCACATGTATGTGGGGAAAAAATTCCGAGATGGGAAGTTTATCCCATGCCCCCTAAATGCTAGCACCAAAATCCTTGTAAGGTAAAGACACCATAAACACAGAGAGAAAGATAAGGGCTGTGTGGAGAGAGAGAAGGGCAGTAACAACCCAGGAGTGGA